TGCATGAAGCAGCCCCCTTTGACCGAACAAAGTTGCATGACTATAGTGACTTGCTGCATGGTCTCCTAGGCTTCGCACACTGCAGTTCCTATGGTCGCTGAATTGACATGAAAAGGTGTCGAGGTCAGAGAACTTTGTGATCTGCAGGATGCTGACACACAGCCTTCACATCGCCTCACTCTCGCTGAGTCTCGGGTTCGGGTGCCTCGGGCACGTGAGGCTTTGTGTCTGCTCCCAGCACAGTGGACTCAACCGAGAACCTTCGGGCCTAACAGCATTTTGGGGCGATGGCCTCGCCACATCCAGATAATGTCAGGAGCCTTCAGTCGCCATCCACCCACACCATTCCATGAAATGCAATGCTTACATCGCCACGAAATTCTTGGCATGGGCGCAAGCAACTCCCAGTGCTGTTCCGCTTGCATTAACCGCAAGGCGCGAGGGCTGCAACTTAAACCAGTCGAGGACCGAGGATGCGAAGTTTATACAGGCACCGCAAACAGAGTGGAAAATTTTGGGCACAGAAAAACCATTGGCGTGAAGAACTGGCCTTGCACCACCCTGGAAACGTTGCCCCGCTCTTCCCCCTCCTCCTGTTTCAACACCACACTCAAAACAACCTGTGGGAACCCCCTTTTCTTTTGCGACATGCTTTGGTGTGAAGAAGCTTGAACAAGATGAGCTGCACGTGCAGCACCGAGAACGCCTTGCAGGCACTTGCGCCCGGCCCAACCCTTCTGCTCCGCGTTCGGGAACAATCTGTTTTTTGCATTCTGTCTGCTGGCGCTCTCAAAAATCACAACGAGAGAAGCCATAGTAAACCACTGTGTTGACTTCGACCACATCCCCTTGGCCCTTGTTGGCCGTCTTCTCGTGGCGGGCACTCCTGGGTTTCAGAGGAGGAGGCGCATTCCTGAAAGCTGAGAAGCACGTCAGCAGTGGACATTCCCAGGTCAACTGTGCAAGACACTTTTTGTTGGGTTTCGCGGCCGCTGCAGAGAATTTCTGGGGACGGATGTAGGGTAACTCGTCAGCTTTCGGATGGGGAGGGTGAAATGCAAAACAGCCAGGCAGAATGCACCCAACTGCCCACGATGGTGAGAAAGAACATCGACGAGTTTTACTGGCGAGGTTTGTTTGATAGTTTGTCTAAAATAAGCATTCGATGTCACGCCGCGTTGACTGCGAAACTGATGCCGAGGGGCATTGTGGCCAAGCCGAAGTTGAACACCGAGCGCAAGTTCACAGAATCCTGAGCGGAGGAGACCTGCACTCCGGCAGAGCTGTGACCATGTGGATTGTACATGATACAGGTAGTACTCTTAGTACTCTGGTACTGCAACGCACAGTATCGAACCGCCCACATGACTCACACGGCACCCCATAACGTTACCGCACGCCTCGTCCGCCTGCGTGTCCTGACTGTTCTGTATGCAGGTCTCTACCTCTGCTCCGGCCATGGCCACATCGCACGGCTCGCCGCCGGCCTTCTGTGTGTCGGGTGCCACTAGCACACTGCATCTGGCATGCGTGGGGTCAAGTCCTATCAGGACACGGGCCTTGGCACCAGCCGGTACAGCTGCTTCGTCTTGGCACGAGGTTGGGCACCCATCCTCTGAGACCTGCGCGTAACACCAACACTGGACCAACACAGCCTGCCAAACACAGCCCCGCGATCCGTACCCAAGCCTCCGTGCTGACCGTGGTCGGCCCACCTGGCAAAGCTTCCTCGCAGTCACCGCATCCTCTGTCGGCGGCATCAACCTTTGGGAAACCCATCACATTCATCACATTGCAAGTTTCGACACTGGGAAATCCGGACGACGAGCATTGTAGTCACAACGAAACCGCGAGCCTCGTCCGCCTGCGTGTCCGGAATACTAGTCTCCACCTCTGCTCCGGTCATTGCGACATCGCACGACTCGTCGTCGTCCTTCTGTTCATCGCGCGCTACGCTGCATCTGGCATACGCGGGGTCAGGTAACCGGCCTTGGGACCAGCTGGTAGTGCTGCCTGTGCTGCCTCCTCTTGGCACGAAGTTGGGCACCCATCCTCTGAGACCTGCATTTGACACCGAAACAGCCAGCCAAACACAGCCCCGCATACCCAAGCCTCTGCGCTGGCCGCGGATACACCTGGCAAAGCTTCTTCGCAGTCACCGCAGCCATTGTCGGCAGCGGCTTCGGCCTTCGGGTAAACCCGTCACTTTCATCACATGGCAAGTTTCGACATTTGGCAAAAACTGGAACCACAATGCTTGTACACCAAAACGAAAACCGCCAGCCTCGTCCGCCTGCGTGTCCTGACTGTTCTGTATGCAGGTCTCTACCTCTGCTCCGGCCATGGCCACATCGCACGGCTCGCCGCCGGCCTTCTGTGTGTCGGGTGCCACTAGCACACTACATCTGGCATGCGTGGGGTCAAGTCCTGTCAGGACACGGGCCTTGGCACCAGCCGGTACAGCTGCTTCGTCTTGGCACGAGGTTGGGCACCCATCCTCTGAGACCTGCGCGTAACACCAACACTGGACCAACACAGCCTGCCAAACACAGCCCCGCGATCCGTACCCAAGCCTCCGTGCTGACCGTGGTCGGCCCACCTGGCAAAGCTTCCTCGCAGTCACCGCATCCTCTGTCGGCGGCATCAACCTTTGGGAAACCCATCACATTCATCACATTGCAAGTTTCGACGCTGGGAAATCCGGACGACGAGCATTGTAGTCACAACGAAACCGCGAGCCTCGTCCGCCTGCGTGTCCGGAATACTAGTCTCCACCTCTGCTCCGGTCATTGCGACATCGCACGACTCGTCGTCGTCCTTCTGTTCATCGCGCGCTACGCTGCATCTGGCATACGCGGGGTCAGGTAACCGGCCTTGGGACCAGCTGGTAGTGCTGCCTGTGCTGCCTCCTCTTGGCACGAAGTTGGGCACCCATCCTCTGAGACCTGCATTTGACACCGAAACAGCCAGCCAAACACAGCCCCGCATACCCAAGCCTCTGCGCTGGCCGCGGATACACCTGGCAAAGCTTCTTCGCAGTCACCGCAGCCGTTGTCGGCGGCGGCTTCGGCCTTCGGGTAACTCCGTCACTTTCATCACATGGCAAGTTTCGACATTTGGCAAAAACTGGAGCCACAGTGCTTGTACACCAAAACGAAAACCGCCAGCCTCGTCCGCCTGCGTGTCCTGACTGTTCTGTATGCAGGTCTCTACCTCTGCTCCGGCCATGGCCACGTCGCACGGCTCGCCGCCGGCCTTCCGTGTGTCGGGCGCCACTAGCACACTGCATCTGGCATGCGTGGGGTCAAGTCCTGTCAGGACACGGGCCTTGGCACCAGCCGGTACAGCTGCTTCGTCTTGGCACGAGGTTGGGCACCCATCCTCTGAGACCTGCGCGTAACACCAACACTGGACCAACACAGCCTGCCAAACACAGCCCCGCGATCCGTACCCAAGCCTCCGTGCTGACCGTGGTCGGCCCACCTGGCAAAGCTTCCTCGCAGTCACCGCATCCTCTGTCGGCGGCATCAACCTTTGGGAAACCCATCACATTCATCACATGGCAAGTTGCTCCAGTGGCAAATCCGGAACCATCCCTGTACTTATGGATCAAGTGTTGGAACTTATGGAAGTGGACTTACATATGTATGGCATTTTGAACTTTTATGTAAGTCAACTACTTATAGATAGGGGAACTATTGTCGGTTTGCGAATTGCCCGAGTCTTCAGGGGCGACTGCCTCAAGTAACTTGGGCCTGCTGCTGCTCTGCAACTTCTTGTGACGACATCCGTTGCTGCCATTACAGCAAGCGTGAGGGTAGGCAGGGTTGAACTTCTAGCAGTCATAGGATTAGCACTGAGCACGCTACGGCACGTCTCAAAACATAGCGGTTCTTCTCCTTTGTTGGTCTGGAAGCAGAAGGGTTACGACGAACGCCGCCCGTCAGCAAGTTGCCCCACAAGCTGAACAAACGAGATTTGCATGGAGAAAAGTCCGGCTATAGGGCGTCAACTAAGAGAAGTGTCTGCACATTGAAGTTAGCTTCGCTTTGGACTCTCTTTGATGGGAATGATAGAGCTTCATACATCTGATTGGGAAAAACGAAATCTCCGGAGATTTCATTGGTGATGAAGTGATGAAGACCGACAGTATTTCCCAATTTTCAAAGACATCCCATTCTCCTATGCGAAATCAAGGCTGTTTATCAGCCTGGCATTCACATTATACATCTTTCATCAAGGCCTGTGGGTCTGCCACACTACACATCAACTTCCAAAGCCCATGCGCAAACACAAGTAGCATGAGTCCTGTTTTGAGCTCTTTTAACATACCCTTCCTCCAAAATAAGCCTAAGCCAACTGCAAAACAGCACATTCAACACAGTGATAACATCAGATATCCAAACTATAGGGAGATTTGGCTGTTATACGTAGCTTAAGGATCAATGGAGGGGACCTCCTGGCGTAGGCCATAACGAAGTCGCCAGCCTCGTCCGTCTGCGTGTCCGGAATGCTAATCTCCACCTCTCCAGTCATGGCCACATCGCCTGGCTCGCTGCCGGCCTTCCGTGCGTCGGGCACTACCCAGCACAAAGATCAGATCTGATGTAGGCGGGGTGAGGAACAGAAGGTATGTTTGTAACAATATCACGGCCTATGTTCTCACGCTCTTATTGGGATACTCCACTGTTCTTCAAGTACTCCTCCTCATCGGGTGTAGACTTCCTGCCCATGACCTTGTTACGACCAGGGAATCTACCATACTTCTTCCCTTTATCACACTGCGTACTCGCTAGCATCCACTCTGGAGAGAAACTGTTGTTGAAGAGTTCCACACAATGTTGTTGGTCAACAATCTTCTCCGAGTGCATCAGAGGTAGGAAGAAGAAGCCTCTCATTGTCTCATTCACTTGGAGGTCGAACCCTTGACAATGGCTGAATGGGAAGTAGGAATTTCAGTAGCCCTTGCCAGGATCGTTGAGAGGCGACTTCTGCTTCGTAGAAGTAGAGGAAGAGCCAGTTCCTTCATTCGCCGTTGATGGTAGCACCAGAAAGAACCGCTTCCGCGGACCAACGCTGACCGGGGGCAAGCCTGGGTTAGCCACGCGAGCCTAAAAACCATCGTCGGGCAGGTCTCCCATGGCCTTGGCCTTTTCGATTTTAGGGTTCCAGAGCACAGCATCTGTGAGTTTTTTCGGGAGAATCTGGACACGGTGATTCTGACTCTCTCGCTGGCAATCGCTGAAATTGGCAGGGTAGGTAAAGCTCAAGGGTTTGTCCTTGGTTCCGAAATACACTCGATCAATACTCTTGTCAATTGTGGTCAGTCCTTTGTCATCAGAGATGACCTTACTGTCCTGGCGGTTGTCCGCGTAGCTGGATGCATCGAATGTATCAGGAACCAACCTGACTTGAGAAATCCCTGCTGGACCAGCAGCAAAGTAGGTGTGCAAAGCAGTGGTGAAGCTGAGGTAGCTCACAGCCTTCTCAGTGGTACTCTCATCCTTGTTGTTGTTGTTCTGAACTGAGAATTTCATAGTCAAGCCTCTCGCATCCAGAGTCACCTGGAAATAGGACATCGAAGTTGGAGAAAAAGGCAGAATCAACTTTCTCTGGGTTGAGGCCCTCAGCAGCATTCTTGGGGAGTGAGAAGGTGATGCTGACCGAATCAGAGCCACCCGGCTCAGTCGCCTTATCAGCACTCAGCAAATCCCACTTTGTGCTACGTGCCCAACCATGAGCCATTCCGTAGGGACCCATCTCACTGAACTGAGGCCAACAAATGGGAACACCTCCTCGGATTGCCTTCTCTGGAGTGTCCATGAGAGCTTGAGGGCTGACATAGAGGAGCTCTTGCTCACCGTTCCCAACAGCAGCACTCTTCCAGCTGGTGACATGTGCTCCATGGCTCTGAATGGTGAAGGAGCTGTATTTGCAGGAGAAGGTATGGGACATACTTACTAGGATTTCACTCGGGCCTTGTCGCCAGCCGGTACAGCTGCTTCGTCTTGGCACGAAGTTGGGCACCCATCCTCTGAGTCCTGCACGCGACATCTTATATTACTCCAAAGTCAGCCCCACGATCCGCACCCAAGCCTCTGCGCTGGCCTTTGTCGGCGCACCTGGCAAAGCTTCCTCGCAGGCACCGCATCCTTTGTCGGCGGCGGCGGCCTTTGGGTGACCCCATCACATTCGTCACCATAAGCCCATTACATTCGTTTTCGACACAACCCACAACTCTAGGGGGTTGTCACGTCTCTCTCCTTACGCGCAACCACTAGGGCACTAGGGACTGAATGCCATTGACTGCATGGAAGCGCGTAGCTGCCAGCCTCGTCTGTCTGCGTGTCCGGAAAACTGGTCTCTACCTCTCCTCCGGTCATGGCCACATCGCACGGCTCGGCGCCGGCCTTCTGTGCGTCGGGTGCTACCATCGCACTGCATCTGGCATTCGCCGGATCAAGGCCTGTCGATGCACCGGGCCTTGTCACCAGCCGGTACAGCTGCTTCTTGGCACGAAGTTGGGCACCCATCCTCCGAGACCTGCACATGACACATCATGACACCAACACAACCGCAGCCAAACACAGCCCCGCGACCCAAGCCTCCGCGCTGGCCGTGGTCGGCGGACCTGGTGGCAAAGCTTCCTCGCAGTCACCGCGTTCTTCGTCGGCGGTGGCCTTCCAGAAGTAACGAGTTCTACCTCAGCCCTGCCAAGAAAAGAAACCATCCATCCTGGAACGATGCAACGAGATTCAATACTTGTGGAATGTTGGCATAGAAGGTGTGTGCAGAGGCCTCCAAGGACTCAACCTTCTCTACTGACTCTACCGAACTTACTGCCAGTGAATTCGTCCTGGGTCAATGCTTCGCACCGGCATACTGAGCTGGAAAACAATGCATGTTCTAGCAGCTCATTGCATGCTGGATGATGTAGCACCAGTGGGAACACGGACATGTGCATGTACATGCTGCTTCTGCATCATATTGTAATATTGCTCACGGAAGCTGATTGCAAAAACTGACAGATTAGAAGATATGCCAATGGATTTCATTTACAACAAATTCGGTATATTGTTGCTACAAACCTGTCAATTCTTGGTTGAGGATTATGTCAATGTAGATTCTGATTGCAATATAGTTACTCTGATGCTTGAAAACGGGGTGGCAAAATAATCTACGCAATGCCAAAATGACAACATTTCTCGAAGAAAACAACTTTGAAATATTCGTGCCTGCTTCCAGCCGAGAAGGCGTCTAGAACAAGCAGACCAGGATCTCGTCTCCTTCCCAACTTCGCAACCCTTCCCCCCCCGCAATTTCTGCCCCCCCCCCCCCACCCCCTGAAAACCCCTGAAAAAGCCGAAATCAGATGATCAGGCCAACCAAAACCCGCGAATGGGAGCTGGCACCCCCGCCTTAACACGCCCAGCACCGGCTCCGAGGCGCCGCGCGCAAGCGTTGCAATTATCAACCGGCAATCAACCACACATAACTACTTGAAACAGTCCACATGCCGTTATGTGTCATAGTGGTTTCCATATCTGATACTCATCCTGGCAAATCGGGTACATCATTTTCTTGCCTTTTTAACAGAATCGAAATACATCGACACAAAAAGAAATGAAAAATGCGTGAGGTACAGAAAATGTAAACACAAGTCGCCCAATCTCAATGCAACATAATGCAACACCAACGATACCATGATTAAACGAAAAGGAACTGCAAGCAGTCCAAGCGTTGGGCCAGCCGGCCTTCTGGTCCACCAAACTTTGCTCCTCCATGGCCTTCCGCAGCTCCCGCACTTCGATCCTCGGAGGCAGCTGACAAAGCTGCGGAAGCAGAGGCAAGACTCTGCAGCACCCAAAGGCGCCATGTCTAGGGTTAGAGCCGGCAACTCTCCTCGAAGTCTGAAATCTTCCGCTCCAAGTCGTCCACCGCCTGTGCAAGATCATTGCCACGATGCCACGCGCAAGGCAAGCGCATGTGTCATATGGCCATGTATGCAAACCACAAGCTCCAGCCCCATCTCGGTTTCAACTTTTGACCATGTGACTCGAGGAAAGTGCGGGAGGCAGGATTTCGAGTCATGGTGAGAAGGAGTGCATCAACATAAGATCCTAGGCCCCGCAGGGCCAGCAAATGGACGGACGCAGCCTGCACAAGAAGACAGACGATGCGGAGCAAGGAGCAACCATGCAACAAGGAATCCACTGAAACAGCTTGGGAGGGAGACACAGAGACGGAGAGAGACAGAGAGAGAGGACGAGAGCGAGAGGCAGAGAGCAAAAAAGAGTAGGGTATGGAAGGCTGGCCATGGCCGGCCTGGCAGGGAACTGCAGGCCCTTCCAAGCTCTGGTACGCCGCAAGGGCGCCCTTGCGGAACTGACGAAGAGACTCCATGGTCTTGGCTCCTGAGAGGACAGGCCCACGGCACAAAGGGTACTCATGCAAACAAACGTGCACAAGCTGCACAAAAACAAACTGTTGCTCATGTGGGGCTGCAGTTCCGGGATATTCAGGGCCGCCTGTGGAACTGGCATCGACGGACTCCGCCAATGCCCTTCTCTCTTCCTCGGCTTTTGCTTGCTTGGCTTACAGCACACCTCAGCCGACTCAGCCGCTACGTGGCGGGTCGTGTGCAGGTTTGGGGCTCGCGACAACATCTTGCAATCATCAGCGTCGGCGCGCGCTTGGTCCAGGCGGGCACGAACAGCATCAACTGCCGCCTCACGAAACGGCAGAGGGTTCGCAAGGCAGTGCAAGCCACCTGTGACATGTTCCCAACAGTTGGCTCTTAAGTCTCGTTTTCTACTCTTCGACCTGGCATGGACACAGGTTCCAAAGCCACCCACAAAGCCACTACCTGCAATTCGCCCATTAAGGCCCGAGGTTGCGTCTGACATATTCATCTCCCCCGCACTATCCGAATCTATAAACAACGGACTGGCCCCTAAACACTAGCGCCTGCGCCGCCCGCACGCCATCACGTGCTTTGGCCAGTGAAGCCTGTGCCGCCTTCGAGCTCGCGCGCGTTTCCTTTCCGGACCCAGAGTCCGGGTAGGGTTCACATTGAGTTCACATGGTTCAGGTAGCTCTGATGGCTTCACTATGGTCCACTATGGTTCAGTTCGCCCTGATCTGGCCTGAGCCCTTGCAGTTGCAGCTTCAGTGGAGCCCTGAACTTCGTCGCTGGTCAGCTCCTGCCAGGAACTTCGCTCAGCACGGATGCCCAAACCCTTTTTAAAGCATGCTTCGCAGAAGGAGGTACATTGAGTTGGTCCTGGCTGAGTTTGTCCATGTGCTCCTGCATAGCCTTTGTGATCAGCTGCGCTGCTGCCTTCTCCAAGAAGGATCTTGTCCCCGCTGGTCTTAGCAAGAAGCACGGAGACTGAGGCTTCAAAGCACGAAAGCGTGAACCGATCAACTGCGAAAAGGTTCGGGGCCCCTGGGTGCCCAAGCTTCTGCAAAACCAGCGGCAGGGTACAGCGCAAGGAGTCCTGAAAGGCAGCCGAAGACGCCCTAGGGAGCTTGGACCATGGCACACGGAAACACGCGTTAACTCCTCGAGGTCCAGCTTCTCACAGATTTTCTGAACTCTGGAGACTTGGTCTGCCGGCATCTGCAAATCCTCCCGCAACAAACTGGCTGCGGCAAGTTCGTCTCTGGGTGACTTGACAGTGACTCGCTCGGCAGACAAGAGTAATTTCGGTTCTGTAGTTTCGCAATCGGCATTGCGCATGGGTGTCCCCACAATGCTGTCCCCCTTCCCTCGTTTCCCTTCGTTTCAAGAAAGCTCAGTGTAACCCTATTGGTGCACGCCAGTGCAAGCTTGTCACGTCCAGCATTTCACCAGTCCTTCTCCTCTGCTAGAAGGATGGCGCAAGCCAGCCTGTCAAGATCCACACGTCCAAAGCTTGTGCGAGCCGGCAGTGAACAAGAGAGCATCGAGCCTGCACAAATCCTGCTCCATGTGCCCAACCAGGAGCTGGGCCTAATGTGGAATAAACGCGGAGAGAACGGCCTATCGCATCTCACACGACAAAAGAGCTGTCTCTGTTCGGCCTCCGCAGTGCTGCGGGCCGTCTCAGCCTTCTCACTCTTTAAGCAGGAGCACAAGAGGAAGAATAGTGAAGGTTATAAGAATTTAGTGCATATGGTAACAAAATGCCCCTGGGAGTTGTGCCTCGGCGGCTGCCTTGTCCGCGGCGTCACTCTCAACCTTTGCCGCTTCTTCTGCAGAGAGATGTATCGCCAGCTGCTCCTGACCGACCCATATGTGACTACAGGCAAGCACCACGCAGCAGGGAGCCGGTGATTCCGGGTTTTTCCGGCCTCGGCGTGCTCCACATCTTGAAGGATATGCGCGACAGTGCTGGCAGCTGTCTGGGTCTTCCTCTCGGCCAGCAGCACCTGCACAGCAAGACAGAGCAAGGACACTCAGATGTCACAGATTTCAGGGCTCCAGGAGCATCCCCGGGCCTGTTCTCTGGCAGCGTGCTTCTCTTGCAGAAGCCGCTCGAGCAGATCAGCTTCCATGTTCTTGAGAACCTGCACCGGCCGCAGAAACTACGTTGACGTGCAACGACATAAGCCTGCAGTGACAAAACAACCAATCCAGCAACTGCTCGCTAAACATCCTGCCCCGCCAGTCAAGACTGGAGCCCCTTGTAACCCTCTACAACTAGCATTTCCGGCCACAAAAAGACCCACTCAAACAATCAAGCAGGGGGGCTTCAACTAAGGGCGAAGTGGACAGCTACAGGTAAACTTGGTAAACACAGTTTCGAGCTCATGGAAAGACTGGTGCGGCGTCCTCTCCAATGAAGCCCGAGAGCGCAGCCTGCACCACTTCTTGTTGCACCCAGCACGTGGAACACCAAGTACAACAGCACGTCAAAGCACATTCGGGTTGCCTGGCGCTTGTCACGATCTTTTGGTAGCACCTGGTGGAGGTACCCGTGGAGTGGCGTGGCAGATTCCTAACATTGCATAATGATACTTTGTCGGCACTGCAGCCACGGAGCGCCGAGTGCCACGGGCACGGCAGCTACCAGCATGCCCTTACACGCCTCTGGCATCTGCTCCACCTGACAATGGCATGATGGTACCGCAACTCACACCCGAGCTACTTCGTAGCTACTTCTTCGTAGCTACTTCTTCGTCTCAAACAGCCCGCGTCTCCGCATGCCGGAAAGGCGGAGCTGCTTGTGTGCTTGGCGCCGAGTTTCTGCTGAGAGCAGCGATGTGAAATCCCGAGCCCCAGACCGAGCTAGTCACTGAGTCCCTCTACAAGATTGTCGACATTCGTGTTGTGGCCTGTTGTGGCCTGTCATGGCCTGTCGTGGCCCGTGGTGTGGCCTGTTGTGGCTTGCAGATGGATGCTGGCCTTGGCAATGGCATGGGCGACGGTTGCGCAGCGCGCCGTAGCGCCAGAGTCGAGGCCTTTCAGCCGCTTCGCCTTCGGCTGACTGCTCTGTCTGCTCCTGCAGGGAGCACAAGAGGGTGTCAAAAAGGGGACTCCCCACAGGGTTTCACGATGCACTTCGCTCTGAGCCGAGTCCAACCTCTTGCTCGGCGCCATACGGCCCGGGCTTCCAGGGGACTCCCCCCAAGAGTCTCCCAAGAGTCCCTAGCCCTCACTGTAATGCGCTTCAGTCTTTCCTGTTGCTTCTCTTTAACGTGTTTAGGTGTGGCTTGGGCTAGCCGGAATTGACATATGTTCTATCCGAATCTCATATCAGGTCTTTGTTTGCCGGTGTCTCTGATGCTTGAGGGATCAGGTGATTGTCTGCAAGAAGGCAAATCGCTCCTGAGGTTCCCACAGAATATATTAGCAGCTCGAAAAGCAAACATGAGCCCATCTTTCTGCAACACTTGCTTGTGGAGAGCAGTCGGTTTGAAACTTGCCTCTCCTGGCTATGCTCTTTGCAAAGCCATAGCGGCTATAACTACTTAACGTGCTCTTTGGGAACTTGTGGCCAGCACCCAGAGCTACCACGTCGTATAGCAATGTGACAAGCGGCTAGAAAGGCGGCGCTTAGCAGCTAGCAGCATCACGGCTACTTCTTGAGCATGAGGGTGAGCTGCAAGGTGCCCCTACTTTGTCCGTCACTCCATTCTTTCATGTGTCATGGAGGCCTGATTTCGATCGCGGCACTGGCACAACGAAACATTTTGAAACATGACTGCACCATGTTGCAAAGGACGGTTGGCCGAAGGTTGTTGAAACTGATTCATGTTGATCATGTTGGTCTCAGCTTTTTAAATTTTCATCTCCAGGGCCATGCCTGGCACCCGCAACAAAACGACTTGGGTTCAGCTCCCTGGAGGCCGCTCCCCACAGTGCTTTGGCACGGCATGCCGAGGAAGCGACCTGGAGCGGGGCGGTGGCATCATCATCACCTGAGCTGCACATGAAGGGGCCACAGAATATGTACTGTGGCTGCATCAAGACCATCCGAAAAGCAAACTGAGCCAGCAGCTGGCGGCGGCGCACCCCACATGACAGGGGGCGCAGCCATAGGAACCGGATGATGCCTCAAGGCACCAGTCTGACTCAGCCCTGAGCCTTCGAAAGCTCGAGACATCGCAATGCCATTTCACGAGGACCTCCCATGCGTTTCGGCACACCTCACAGCAGACAAGCGCAAGGAAACTGAAGCTGAGATGACGGGCGGCCATGCGGGCGGCGGCCCAGGAACCTCACACGAGAGGTAATCAAGAAAAATGTCAAAGGGGTACTAAGAGACGAAAGCAACGTGGACGAATGAAAGGGACCCCCTTCTAACCCAGAGCATTGTTTTGTTGAAAATTGCGATGTGCTGTGCGCTAGGACAAAACACTTCGCATATTTCACATGCAGAAAGGCGAACACGAAATAGACTGCAATGGTACTTCAAGCTTCAAGGGATCTGGATTGATCCGGCTTATCTCCTTGCCACGCAAGGAATGGGGAGAGCGGCACTCTGCGACCATTGGGTCTCTGGGCTACCCCGAGCCCAGAGCCCCACCTTCGCTCCATCAAGCCACAGAGGAGTCGGTCGACGAGCATCGTTTACAATTACGACCGATTTGTTCAAAGGCCAAAGGTATGGCGCACCTCTTTTTCTCTACAAGTTGTGGCTGACTCCCTTGGCTTCTCCCATGAAAGCAGGTCATGAGGGGTACCACGCACCCGTGGTCCGCAAGACAGTTTCCAACCCTGTCCAGCCCGGTCACCCTCCTCAAACCACATGCTCTCATGATGTACATTTTGATGAACGCAGTCAAGTCTTGAAGCGAGAAAGACTTGAAACTGCCGAGGATGGCAGGCTGAGAAGCTCTCAAGCGCCGTCGACACTTGCAATGGCGCACGTGGGTTTGCAAGCGAAACTGCATCAACTCTGTCCGAGGATGCAAACCCTGAGGAATGCTATTGGCAAAGTTGGGCTCTAGATTGGCCCGATCCAGGATTCCAATTCCGGCTCACGACAGCAATCTTGGCCAAATCTAGATCTCGAGGTGTCTCAGCTGATCCATGCTGCGCCTTGTTCGACAGCACGGCCCTGTGGAATGTTTGAGTTCAAGCAGCCAAGACTATGTTAAGTTAGAAGAACAAAATTCACGAACGCATGTCCCGACCAGGTGTTTTTTGTTGTCATTGAACCGAGGCGGGATGGAATGATTGTGCATTCATATGCATTCATGAGTGTGCGTCACTTCTTTCCCGGTTGGCCCTGGGAAATTGCTAAAACGGTTGAACAAGTCACGTGGGTGGATGTTTTCAACACTACGACAGCCAAATCATGGCAACCTCTGTCAGTCCCTGGCCCAAGCTGGCGGTGGCGGCCGGTATCCCGGAACCGGGACCTGGACCCAAGAAAAGCAGGGAACAGGGGCCTCAACTGCAGCGAAAAAGGAAAGGAATGAGTATGAAAGAGTCCGAAAGAGGGAGGACAACAGCAGAGGGGCAGCGAATGCAGCGGTGAGTGCAGCCCCGGGTGCTGTCCGCGGTGGCGGAGGCCAGGAAGGATGGCCCGGCCGCACCTCTCGCCATCGGATCCATTCAGATCCATGCTTAGATCCTCTCCTCGCTACAGCTCTCACACGCAAATATGCAAAACTCACATAAGAAAGCAGGAAAACAGAATCAAAGGCCAAAGCCATATGGGACAAGCTTGCCCCCGGCGCCTTGCAAAGTGAGCCGAGTGAACAAGAGTAGGCAAGAGTGTCTTCCTTCTCAAATTTACCACAGCTCCGTTGGGGCAGCGGCTTTGGTCCAGCCATGGCCTGGGGAGCGAGAGGAGCCTGGAGAAAAGCCGGCTCTCTGCCATCGCAGGTCTCTCCTTTTTTGACACATTACTGGAAGTTGCGGGAGGCCTGAATGCCGGCGCCTTCGTCGCCGCCCATGCGAGCCTTGGGAAACAAGGGGTTGCATCCGAGTGGCGAGTAGCCTAATCCGAGCATCTGATTAATTAATACCCCCACATTTAAAGAAATGTTTTTTGGCCGGAAGCCCGCCGGAAGACTACTTTCCATTAGGGTGGATTTCGTATGGGACAAACCCCCCACATTTAAAGGATTTTTTTTGGGGTGGGTTCAAAAATCTGTCGGCAGGCTTCTTGTTTTGCTTGCGGAGACGCAAAGCTACAGCACCTCAGGGATCTGCATCGTATTGTTTTTAATAGAGAATCAATACAGGGCCACGGTCCAACTATTGCGGAACCCTGCATTCCTTATTGTGAGGGGGGGGGGCCCCCCACCCACTAATCAGAAGCTCGGATTAAACTGGCTGACACACGCCTCTTCGCCGGCGGCGGCTGTGCCTAATGGATGCCGTGATCACAATCCATGTCAACGTCAGACTACGGCCAGACTGCCCCGATAGTGGAATCTGACTGCACGCTCTCTCCTTAAACGATGCGGAGCCTGGATCCACTGCTCGCTTTGCTCCGACTTCTACTATGGCTTTTTTCCTTCTTGGCCTTGCCCCACGATTCTGTCAGATCCAGAATGCAAGCAATTTCGTCCTCCTCCAAGAGTCGCAATGTGCCTCTTTGACTGCTGGTGTCTCTGCTGCCTTCTTGGCTGCACCTGCCAATGCTAGTGACTGCCAGTGATGAATGATGCTGGTGTCTGTCTGGAAAGTCACTCTGCTTTACCTTGGGCTGTCGTGTCTGGCAGGGACGAGGAAGACCTGAGCCAAATGTCTATCACTGCAACGCTCCCTGAAACCACGCCCGGATACTGCAATCAATCCATTGCTAATCCTTTACACGTCTGAGAGGAAGTCTCCGACTCAGAGCTGGCGGCAGCCTAGGGTGGAACTCAGATGGCAAATGGCACTGGCGACGGTCAAATCACAGCGCTCTGCCTTCGGCGCCGCGCTCGTCCCGGCCTACAGAACCGCAGAGACACAAAAGGGGAGTCTGAGAAGTGGGGTCGCAAGTGTAGTTTGATCGGTCATGCGACAAAGGCGCCTCCATGACGATCGTGCCAGCAGGGACTGCAGGCCTGGAGTCCGAGAAGGTGGAACTCACTCAATTCGCTGTAAAACTCATCTGGGATCATCTGGGCATCTGGGTCCGGTTCGATGCACCATCTTCCGAGGAGGAGGACTCCTGGCATGGCCCAATAAGCTTTCAAGATTTTGCAACAGAAATGGCTGTGCCGCTCGAGATGGCTAATCCCTTTCAGATGCACCAAAACAACTCGTGAACTGGGATCATGAATGCGACGTGGAATGATGGCTTTCTGCCTGGGCCTCTTGAGCCACCTTTGGTGCCGGTCGACCTCAGCTTCCAGCTTCCCAAGCTCACTGAGCCACAGCTCACTGCTCATCGCGAAGTGCAGATAGGCTCACTGCTGGATGGGGAGGAGCTGGAGGAGGAGGCCTCTGGGTTTCAGAGACACCTTTCTGAGAAACAGCTCCGTTGAAACTGCTCTGTGCGCGCCTGTGGCTCCATCGCCTTCAGCGACCTGGCGCACTCTGAAAACTGCTGTCATCTGCAGATTCATCGATTCTCGCGAGCCCCGCTGGATCTTCTGCACTGCCAGCTCCCGCAGGGCACCTGCCACGCGCTGCTCCCCACGTGTCCACTAGAACTTGTTATGGGCGAGCGTCGGCAAACTCGATCTGCACTTCCTACTGCTTCAGTCTCTGCCGCTCCAAAAATTGCCACCCGAGCCTCAAACAGCTTCAACGATGCACAATCGTCCCTGGCCTGCCGAAAGCCGGGCCTGGGCCACAGCTGCGCGGCCGTGGTCCTCAGCCTCTCCTTAAACAACAAGCCGATGGGTGTTTCAGGACTGAAAGAACTTGTGAAGAAGAACGTAATGGCAGTACACTTGCGGATGCATGAAAGCCCGCTATCCCAGAACATGTCCCTGAATGGCTTTGTCTTTGTTTCTCTTCTCATTTTCCAAGGTTGAAGGTATTGGACGAGGGTGAACAGGAACCGAAGCTTCCGGGGGCTTGATCTGTAGTACAAGCTTAGTACTCGAATCGATGCTTCCGAGCTGGCCTTGCATTGCTTGTGTACTACAAGCTGAGTACTGGAAGCGACGTTTTCCACTAGTAGCAGACTGGATTTTCCTCGCTTTGTAGTACAAGCTTCGCACCGGTGGCTATGTTTGCAGAAAGCCTTGTTTATTGTTTATCGCTGTCGTTTGCTTCTCATCGTATTTTATCGAGCAAAAATGAGCAACACACACATATTTGCTCATCCGGGCGCTTCTCTTTACTTTGCGACATCGGGGGCTTGATGATTCACATTTTGCACGTAATGGTTCAGTTTCAAGCTGGACCACCAGCCTCCTGGATGTCCCCTAAATTCCCTAAATTCTAAGCTCTGCGGCATCCTGGGACTCCGGCTGTGCTTCTTCAACTTGTTCCCCTTGTTCTCCTGCACAGCTGAATAAACCTACGGAGTTCCAAGGCGCACACCAGCTTTGCCGGAACTCTCACAACGTCCTTTGGAGTGCTTCCTGCTTTGCTCCGCATCTTCTCCTATCACATGCTTGAAGTGTGCCCCACAGCCCGTCTTCTCCAGTGGCTGAAGCCTACTTACTAGCGAACACAGGATGTGGACTAGCAACAGTCATGCACATCAGGCCCTCACTTCTACAGGCTCGAGACAACCCTTAGCTGCATGCATCGCTCAGCTATAGCTTGTTTCTAGGAGCCATGACTTGACTTGACATATGCTTTTGCTGGAGTTCGCTTCGCTCCTCTTCTTCGTCATCCTCCTCCTCTTCCTCCTCATGGATCAAGCACACTGTCCCAAGATTCAACTCATGAAAAAGAAGTGCGAACCGCCCCGCAGTCCGCGTTGTCCGCCTGGCCTCGTCGTCATCCGACTCAACTTCCACGTCGCCATTCACCGACACCACGCTCTTCGCGCCTGCCCGTTCGCTCCGGAGACTACGGCTACAGCCTATGCTTCCCGTCGCTGATTCTCCGTGCCCCAGCTTCTCCCGGCACCTTCTTCTGGCACCTCCTCGCTGTCCTTTCTGCAAAGTCCACAAAAGAGTGCCCCCACACTTCTCCCCCGCTTTCTCACAGAAGCACTGCCAGCTCCCAGGAAGCAAAGAGCGAACAAGAAATAGAACTCTGAGGGAGACCACCTCTTCGACTTCCGAGACCTCCTCCTTGGACAAGACGGAGCGGTCAGACGCGGCCCGCAAACATGACTGTGGGACAACAACAACAACAGCGACAACAACGTCCAGAAAAGCAGTTTAAAACAGCACGACGAGAATGGAAAATACCACATGCACCGCTGTGGGCTGAAGTCCCGGCATCGTCTTCTGAGCACCTGCCGTCCTTCTCCTGGGGATATGTTGCCACGGGTTTCCGCGCTGCCGCGTGTCTTGAGGCAGCTATGGCCCTGCTGTGATTCTGTTTGGGGGCCTCTTCCTCATCCTCGTCATCCTCGGGGTTGCAAATCGCGTAGAGGTGCCGGCGGCTGTGGCATGCTGTGCAAGAAACGTGTCCTGGCCTCGATGTCGATGTGAGTGCGGTTCGTCTCCCTGCGGGCCTTGCTCTTCCCAGCCCTCTCCTTCTCTGCTGCCTCTGAAATCTGCAAAGGATCTCAACACTCCACTCCAGTGACTTCAGTGACAGGTCTGCCAAAAAGCCAGAAAGCTCGGCCTCGACGGACTCCCTTGGCCTGTCGCTATTGCGCAAGAGCCAATAGCCAGTGCAATCCATTGCTCTACACTGCCAGCATGTGAAAAAAAGAAAAGGTTGCACAAGTGTTACACATGTTACACTCTTTGTTGCTAGGTGATGCTGCTCGCAGCCATGCGCCATGGCCAGTCCTCAGAACAGCTTTCCTTCGCTTCGTCGGCTCCTTTGCTCCGTTGACAGACCTCACACTGAGATCGCTGAAGCCAACATAGTCTGGCATGATCACAGGCAAACTGAGCCAACAACCTGCTAGGATTCCTCTTGGATTCCTTGCTGCCTGCCTTCAGCACACTGCCATGCCGAAAGGGCGCACAAGAAAGTGGTGATCCGGAGCACATTTCCAGCCCGTACATTCAAAGCGTCGCATGCGCCGCCTTTTTGCTCCCGGCCCTCTGCCTTCCCAGAAGGGCTTGGACCTGGGAAGCCGAAGAACCTCCCTCCCCGTCTCCCCCGCACTACTGCAGAATTTGAACGGCTAGTGGATCCCCCATGTCACCGTGCCTTCTCGAGTGCATCCTCGGACCCTCGTTGCCGCAGAGTCTGCGTAACCTGAAGGGCTGTAGAAGTATAGATGGCGGCAGGCATGGCAAGAGTACGATGATGTTCAATGGGTCCGAGGAAGGGACACTCAACCTCTCCTCTTGGCTTAGAGCCTGCACAAAATGAAGCTCCACTCAGGATCCGAGAGGTGCAGATTCCAGATGCTTCCAGCGTTCTCTGCCGAGTGCTAGGTTGTCCTCCCACTCTTTGGCTGCAAGGCCGAGTCGCCGTGGCCTTAAGGCTTCTTAGCTCTGAGCCGCGAGTGAAAACAATGATGAATTTTGCCATCGCGCAATGTGAAAATGCCCGCTTGCGCGCCGCGAGTAAGCTTTGGGCGTTGGTGGCAGGAGCCGGGGTGCCATCACCGATCATTGTGCATAGCTGTCTCTCAACTTTTTTGAAAGACAGGCCTTCTTTATTAGCAATGGAAGGGATTTAAAGTTGTAAGGTTGTGAGAGCTCCCTGTGTGTCACATATACTATCACACATGCAGTGCTTGAGGTTCAACGGATTTTCCTGGTTTGAGCCGCCATGGCCATGTCTTACCATGTCACTATGCCGATGCAGGCCAGCATCCAATCAATCCCAGACGAACGCTTGCTACAGAGCTTGCTACAGTGCCCATCGCTTAGCTTCAGGGTGGGGATTCTTGTAGACCTCCGCAGACGCCACTGAGGCTGCATTTGTCGGCAGCTGGATGGCAGGCTTGCGCCGGCCGACATGCTCTCAAAAAAGTGTTGCAAAACAAGCGGATGCCCTGCAACTTCGAGGGGGCCTATCACCGCGCGGCGATGCGCAGTGTATCGAAGAGACAATGGGCAAGCTCCACCGACATGGTTTCGGGGACCAAAGTACTAGCAAGGGCTTACTACGTAACCGAATTCGGGGGCCACGGTCCTTGATTAACCAACAGTTGCGAGGAAAAGGCTCGGGAACCATTTGCCGGCAGAGCCGATGCAAATGAGATTCCAGAAAGAGCACCTGAAACGATTCAATTGGGATTCTGTGCATTTCGGGCTCAAGTTCTACAAGCTCAAGAGTTAAAAACATTCTCAACGTCCATAATTTGGAAGTTTTCCGGAAACCGACGTTGGTGGGGCCGCGGCCCCGACCCCTGCTGGCGACGTTATGCCTGCCGGCGGCTTCATGGAGAGGCAGTCTTGGGTGTACGTACCGCTGCTTCATGAGGCCGCAGGCTTCCTGACCGCAGAGGCAAGGGGCTCACGAGGCATGAGCAGGCGGGCCCTTGCGGGACTGAGCTGGCGGCGATGCTCCGACACGCTCAGCCGGCCACACCGCGCGCGTTGGCACGGTTGCGTCGCTCGCCGCGGTCCTCCTTTCCTTGCCAGACGTTCGCGCCGATGCCGACGAGTACGTCGAGGCGGCCGCACATGCGAGCGGGGAGCCAGGTTTTCTTGGGTATGCATGTTTTTGGGTTTAGCTTTTAGGGCTTAGGGGGTTTAGGGTTTAGGGTTTTAGGGTTTTAGGGTTTTAGGGTTTTAGGGTCTTAGGGTTTTAGGGCTTTAGGGTTTTAGGGTTTTAGGGTTTTAGGGTTTTAGGGTTTTAGGGTCTTAGGGTCTTAGGGTCTTAGGGTCTTAGGGTCTTAGGGTCTAGGGTCTTAGGGTCTTAGGGTCTTAGGGTCTTAGGGTCTTAGGGTTTTCAGCTCGACAGACGCTGCAGGACGCGCCCCCTGTTATGCGCTCGTCGGCCCGCGCGAGGCCTTGAACCATTTACGCTCTGCAGGGGGCCGCAGGCCGGTAGAAGGCAGCGGCCGCACCTGCCGGTGACCCAAACCAAGAAAAAACAAGTGCTGGGCAGAACTCCTTGAGGCAGCGGCCGCGCGTGGCGCAGCCGCAAGCCTGGCAGGGAAAGGTGTTTGAAACAGCCTCAACACGGCAAGGCAAGCTTGAGGCCCCCGCGGGTGAGTGCGCTAAAAAAGCGCCACTCCGGAACCTCGGCCGGCAGCAGCCGCTAGTTGCGCCGGACCTTTTTTTGCGGCCGGTTCCACCGCTTGCCTCCTCGCTTGCGCTTGGGCTTGGGATCCTCGGCCTGTGGCCGAGCGGGCGGTTTTGCAGCAGGACGAAGCTGAGCGGTTGTCGCAGGGCGGGCGCGCCGGGGGGCGGGCGGGGCGGTGGCACTCGTGCAGCGGGAGGTTCAGGCTCCGAATCAGCAGCAAAGCTTGGAGCGAGCCTCCGGCAGCAAGCACCGCAACCGCAGGCAGCAACACGAACTCACGATCCACGACCCCCTCCAAACGCACGCCCGCCAGGTCAAGCAGTACTTTGCGCATACACGGGGGCAATGGCTGCGCGAGGATTCCCCTACCCCCCCCCACCTTAAGCCCAAAAAAATGAAGCCAAAATGGCTTGAGCCAAAATGGCTACGGTTAATCTTGGCAAGGAAGGAGTTCGAGCCACCACGGTCACTAAGCGAGGCAACTGTCTCAGAAGCTCGTGGAAAAAGCAGGTATCAAGCGGTGGCTGCAAAGCTGTATAGCATTTATGGCTGAAGGCGAGCCCCTTTTCCAAAGGAGTCGGGTCGCAGAACGCTAATCTGAATGCTGACAGGTCATACATCGTGCTCCACCGTTGGATGCAGTGGAACACGTGCGCAAGCACAAGTGCATCCCCCGAGGCCATTTCGAATCTCGAAGTCGGAGATGAACCTCACGGTTTTCTGCATTTTTGTTCGGGCGGCATGCACGGAGCCTCTAGCTGTTAGTTAATCCAGTTGGCGTGATCAAAGTGGTTCCTGAGAACGCAAGAAAATCCCCGACACAAGTCCCGACAGCATCTTCCACTGCTTTGCCTTGTCTGCCGAGTCCTTCTCATTCGGCCCGCTGCGAACACGCAGTCAGAAATAGAGACGGGCAGCCTCAATCGGAATTTGGGGCCATCGAAACAATTGTAAATCTCAGGTGAGCGCTTTCAGGTTCTGGGCTCCGGCTTCAAAGCTTGAGGTTCTGTTGGGCAAGGCTTAGGGCATAGGGGTTTTTTGTGTTTATTGTTATAGCTTAGACGCCTGGGGCTTTTGACTTGGAGATTCCGGGTTTGAAGTTTTGCTGGGTGTCAGGTTCAGGGCATAAAGGCTTAGGGCATGTGAGGCTTAGGAGGGCCTGGGGCGTAAGCTAGTCTTGGTGTTGAAAGTGGTGGGGGGGGTTCGCCTCCCTTTCTCACTGAGGTACAGAAGGTTTTTTCTAGCCATCTGAATGATTTTGAATGTCGGGCACCATAGTTTGCAAGCCCTCCTAAACTTCCTCAACCAAAAACTTCTTGAGCTCCGGAATCGCAGATCCCAACTAGCAAGTTCTAAGCTACAAGGTCCCGGCATATGATGTTCTAACTACCCCGAGGCCCTAACGCAGAAGTTAAAACTAAACCCCTAACCCCGACAGCACTGACCCCAAAGCTGTGATCCCACGGCCTGATGCGCTGGAATGGACCACCGGCGCGCAGGCAAGTCGTGCCAAAGGCCGCAATGGGGGGGGCGTGGCATTCCGGCCACCTGCACGCATCGGCCTCTTGCGCGCGCTGCAGTGCGAGGGCCAAGCCTTTCGGTTTAGGATTTAGGAAAACGGACTGGGCTTCGCCGCGCAGCGGGGGCGGCAGGGAGGAGAAGGGGAGGCGGCGGCACAAATCACGAAGACAATGACTTGATACTCCCAAACGACCTTCTATTTGAGTATCTGTACGAAGCGGCACGATACACAATGAAACATCTGCTTCCGAACACAATAAAGCCTCTGCTTCCAATGGCATTCAACGGATGGAACGACAAACAAAACAAGAATTCTCGGCAACTTGTGACACCCACTGGAAATGCTGAAAATCCACTGGCTGTGGAACTGTTAAACATTCCAGCCTAGTAGGAACACACTGTTGTATGTGTAGGAGAATGCACAGATTGAGCCAGGAACCAACTTTGTGGCCCAGGCTCAAAAGGAGACTCCCCAGTCTCAAAGGATTGACAGGACAGAAACCACAGCAGAGCGGTGAAGCGAAAAGTGAGCCGCAGTGGTGGTTTAGGAAACCCTTTAGGAAAGCCCGTTCTTTAACATGGTAGCGGAGCTGTCTGAACCAGGAACCTTGACAGGAACCTTGACAGCGATGATGCTACTCCTAGCAGTAGGAACGACCTTCATAGCCATGGTGGCTTCTCTCGTCTGTGGGATGAGACACATGTGGAAGCAGGAAAAGAGAACCGAGGTCCGAGAGTTCTTCGAGTACCTCCCCACGGTCAGGATCGCATATAGAAGAGGAACCAGATACCACAGAAGAAACTGTGGAATCATCAGGAATCAGTCGATTGCTGGTGCAGCAGCAGTGAGGGACTTTGCCCCTTGCTTTCAGTGCTTCCCGGAGCGCTATGTGGTTCAGGAAACGAAGAAGGTGAACATGCGGTGCTACGGCATGGCAGCAGGAATCGTCTTGCTGATTGGTTTTCTCCTGGGATGCCTCGCAACTTACTGCGGGATGACAAGGAACCTGGGAATGATGGACGCAGATGTGGAGCCGTGGCGTGCCCTTGACTACGTGCAGGAAAAGAGAGAGGTCAAGGATGAACTAGCCCTTGGAGGTCGCGCCTTCGAGGATGTACCGCAAGAAGACCGTGCGAGAAAGGAAAAGCTTGAGAGAAAGGAAATTCGAGAGTCCGACGAGAGCGAGCTGATGGCAACTTGGAGCAGCATCTCAAGAAGCCCCAATACGCAATGGAACTACATCGAGAACTTCGAGAATCTCGACGACAGGAACGGCTACCCGATTCAGTTTATGAACGTCTACACGATTCAGTTCAGGAACTTCGTTGGTGAGTTTGACAGCCAGGAGAGTGTGAGCCTTGAGTCCGGCTACGCCCCTAGTGCACTAGTAAAACAAGAAGCCCGAGAAGGAAATCTTTTAGCGCTACATCGACTAGGACAAGTACTGAGATGGTTTGAGAAGTGTTTGAAGGAAAGAGTAGCTACAGTAGAGAGTTTGTTTCACGACGTCGTGCATGAGATCTTTCATGGAGCGTTTTCCAACACAGTCATGTTTCAAGGAATTCGCCTAGTTGTATATACAGGAACACCGTTAGGATTGGTTACTTGGATCATCCTGATGTATTTTTCACAGTCTTTTTGCCAAGCAGTCAGAAGCAGAAGGAAGAAGCCAGGAAAGAAGACGCGAGAGCAGAGGAGAACAGCAGCAGCACATTGCAGGCAGTACAAATCATTACTTTTAGCAACACTTGTTTACAGCAACCTTGAAGCAGCCAAAGGTATGGAAGAAGCACTCAAAACATTGGCCGAAGCAAACATGCAAACACTGCAAGGCATACAAGCTTTGTCGCAGGAGATAAGGCACTCAGCAGCAGCAGGAAGCCA